TCTTGTATAGTCGTATTATAATGGCTTCAGCCCATTCCTTTACCATTATCTCCTGTTCCCATACATCGTGAATAATTTCATGTAACCATTCAGCGACACAATGACCGCCCGCTTTTACGAGTTCCGCTGGTACATCGTCTTTTCCTGGAGCTTTTTTATTTTTTATTTGTCCAATTGCCTTTACAACCTCATCAAGAGTTGGTACAGCGTCCTGTCGAGAAAGCTCTTCATCATCAACTGTAGGACTTGGAATTTGTTGTAAAACTTGTTCGCTTACTGTTGTATCAACGTTGAGCATTTCATCAAAATACTCTTTCCATCGATTCAATTGATCTTTACTGTTTGTTAACGTTAAGCCGTTCTTATCCTGGATTGGTATGTGATTTATGCTTGGTCCATTTCCACGTAACCTTCGAATGATTTGAAAAGCAGTTGTTGGATCGTGTACTTTGACTGCATTTTCTATTTCTATGCTTAACTCCTCCCAATATTCGTGTTGCCTTGCATATACTTTGTTTTGTACTATTTTTGCCAACGTTCGGTATCTGTTTCTATATTTATTCTCGTTGTTTGTATTACGGTGTAGTTGCCAGTCTACATATGCTTTAGCTTTTTTATCAACAATTTCCTTTAGTTCGGGTGTGAACCATTCTTTTCCGCCTTTATGAATGCTTTTATTGTTTCCAAAGTAGTGTCTACCACGTTCTCGAACACTGTTAACAAAATTTGTGAACTTTTCATTCACCGATAAGGTTTTATTATCGCCCCGAATGGCTTTGCTTTCATTCGCTAATTCAATTCGGAAAGCAGAGAGTAAATTATTATCTGTCAATTTTGATTGATCAAGTCTTATCCGATATTTTTTCTGTTTTTTTACAACATTTCAGATGTAAACGAATTTTAGCTCGTAATAAATGATGATCTGTTCCAATACCACCAGTAGCACCTCTATGAACTTGTACATCCTGTACACTAGATCGAAATTTACGATTAACTAGTACATAATCTAACATGTGCCATTGTTTTGTTTTTGGATGCATCCATGTGCCTTGATGGACTGTTTTATGTGGGAAGAATGTGTTAGTAACTATAAAGCTATTAAATAAACAGAAATCGACTAGTCGACGACCGTTTTGATTTTGTTTGTCAATAGCATG